ACCCATTTGTATGGCCTCGCTATTCATAGCTTTCATTTCGGCAGCTAGTGCCTCGAATCAATTGTTGCAGGTTGCGACGACGGGGTCTGTATCTGTTTAAGCTCCAGGACTCCAAAAATGTAGGTCGTCACTGGCCAGGCATTTACGGAAGCACATTATTTCAACTAATTTTTAATCTACAGAGGTGCCTTTTCCCATAAAATTGTACAGCTGATTCTAATAACCTACGATACTATCATTTTAGCAGTTCATGTATTTGTGCAATGTTTCAGTTATGGAGTGGTTTAGTGGAGGCTTGTATTTGGTTTAAAATAGGTTCGACGTGGAGGAACTTGTATTTGTACTAAGTCCGGTCTTTAGTAAAAAGTCGTTCGACCCACTGAGCGATATTCAGTCACCCCACACCCCCACGAGGGCAAAACGTTACGTGGGAACTGGGCTCGGCCAAAATATAATTTAAACCCATATAAACGGGTTCAGGTCGGTTTACCTCCCGAAAGAGATCGGCGTAGCCTCGTTGTTCGGGTCGAAGGCAGAGAGTTACGGTCAGCCGGTCCTCCGACAAACTGTCGACCGACCCATGAGCGATTGACTGACCCACTGAGCGATATGAGTCTATTAACTATAGAATAGATGTGTTTCACTATAAAAGTTTCATAAATGGTTTTGTATTGTAATCTGTTCATAAAAATAGTATTTTTCTTCCAGTGGCTTGAAATAAAACTTACTATCCTTACCTTAGGTCCGGTCTATTTCTAGCTTCTATTAGTGGGATATGCATGCTTGAAAACAAAGTTAAATCCATCCATATAAGAAGGGATCTGTAATACATAGTGCGTCTCAATTACGAGATACTAAATTAAATTTTGTTCTCAGTCTCGTCTCAGAATTCCAAAAAACTTAGCAGACGTTAGAGTTAACCCCGAAGCATACCTGAAATACATCAAGTGCTTGTGCCTGAAATATGTCGCTGGATGTGTCTAGATAAACAAGGAAGTTGGTTCTACTGAACCTGGGATATACACTCAGAAAACAACAGCATGAGAGATATAGTATAAACGACCCACGTGTGAAGGGGAAAAAAAATGGTAAACTTACTAATAAGGAAATGGACCATTTGAAGCTAGAACCAAAACAGCTCTATTAGACACATGTTAAAGTGATGGATCCAGAATTTAATAAACAATTGGAAAACATTGTCCCGTTTTCTCACCAGAAGTTACTAATATTACACATGTTTAGCGGGCTATAAATGGGAGAAGACTTAACACAATGTTACGCCACATGTGCCGAATTTAAACACATTTCTTTTTCAGAAGTCTTCAGATTATTACCATACCAGCTTCCTGTTTGTATTACCATTGCCTCAAGGAATTATAGATACTATTCACTGACTGCTTTTAGATATGTTTTCGGTAGGAGTTGTGTCCATTTTCATTATTTTTCAGATAACATTTTTAAATCAAAGTTATTTTAAGGTAGTAATTTTTATATCAATAGATATGAACTGAATTAATTCATTCTCATGCTAAGCAATTTAATGGCTTGTCCCAACGAAAGATTTTAATATCTTCATAAAAAAAAAAAAAAAAAAAACATCTTCGGATTTGTAAATATTTCGCCGATATAATTGTTATGGCGAAGCAGGAAGTCTTTGTCATGTATACCGGTTTCAGATACGTTGTTTCTTCTATCTAGTGGTTATAATTTTAGAGTGACGGATCACACACGCAAACACACGCAAACACGAACACACACACGCACACACATATTATGTATTAAGGCAGCAAACCTTCACTTATGCATGTTTCATTAAAGACAACAGACAGTGTATGAGGGTTAAGTTTTTAATTTATTTTTTATTGTGTTCGAACAAGTGTTCTCTTTTTTGTATACAGAGTTTACAGAAACTCTCAAAATATTCTATAATTCCGACCGCTTACAGCTATACTTTTAGCCATTATCAAGAATTATTTTATTTTTTCAATTTAACTGGGTGTATGGGTTGTGTGTATGTTTTTAGTGTTATAGAGATGTTTTATTTTCCGAACACTGCACATTCTGGCCGTATTCGTAGTTAATATTATTAAGTGTTGGCTTTTTCTTTTCTTTTTTTTTTTTATTAAGGCTTCCATTATTTTTAATCTGGTTTTACAAGTGGATGAGATTATTATATTTTTATTTTCTACTAGTATGTTTCGGATGGCTAAAGTATAGAGGAAAGCGCTCAGAATTATATAACATTTAGACAGTTTCTACACACTCTGTATCCAAAGAGAAAACACTTAATCGAACAAGAAAAATTAAATAAAAACTTAATCGTAGTACCATGTCTTTTTTATATATATATATATATATATATATATATATATATATATATATATATATATATAGCTTGTATATATATATATATATATATATATATATATATATATATATATATATTTATGATTCAACATTATTACTTGATAAGACACCGAAGGTGTTGAAACAAAATGGCTATTTTTGTAGTGATTTTGTAACATATTTATGTCATAATTTTTAAAATAAATAATTATATATATATATATATATATATATATATATATATATATATATATATATATATGTATGTGTGTGTGTGTGTGTGTGTGTGTGTGTGTGTGTGTGTGTGTGTGTAATAATAATTGAATAATTTGTTTATGGTACGAAATTTAATGATAGCTACGTATAAGCAAAATTTATATGGCATTTCAAAAGCCTTCAAAAGGACAATCGGTTTCGTCCGAGCCTTATCAAGTTTATTTCTGGGATATAAAAAAATAAGCGTATAAATTTATAAAGCGTATAATAATAATAATATATAATATATAATAATAATATAATAATATATAATATATAATAATAATATATAATAAAAATATATTAATAATATATTAATAATATTAATATGTATAATAATATTAAATTATATTTAATATGTATAATAATATATTTAATAATATATTTAATATGTATAATATTAATATTAATAATATATTAATAATAATATATAATAATAATATATAATATATAAGAAGCGTATAAATTTAACGATAGCTAGGAATAAGCAAAATTTATATGGCATTTCAAAAACCTACAAAAGTAGAATCGGTTTCGTCCGAGCCTTATCAAGTTTATTTCTGGGATATAAAAAATAAGCGTGTAAATTTATAAAGCGTATAATAATAATAATATATAATATATAATAATAATATAATAACATATATATAATAATAATATATAATAATAATATATTAATAATATATTAATAATATTAATATGTATAATAATATTAAATTATATTTAATATGTATAATAATATATTTAATAATATATTTAATATGTATAATAATATTAATATTAATAATATATTAATAATAATATATAATAATAATATATAATATATAATAAGCGTATAAATTTAACGATAGCTAGGAATAAGCAAAATTTATATGGCATTTCAAAAACCTACAAAAGGAGAATCGGTTTCGTCCGAGCCTTATCAAGTTTATTTCTGGGATATAAAAAATAAGCGTGTAAATTTAATTAATATTAATGATAACGAATAATGCAGGGGCAAAAATGAACTTCAATAAAGCTAGAATAATAATAATATTCAGACCCATTAAGCATTCCCTCTGCAAATAGAGGGAAAGCCCACCGGATCTGACATGCAAAGACTCCAGAACCTTGAGGTGATAGGAGAAGTGGGACCTACATAAAATCGAGAATCGCTCTGCACTAAAAGCAAAGGCACAATTCCTGCTATTTATTACATGCTCTGTAATAGAATAGCCAGAAGTATTGATTATTTGGCCTTTCCTGGCATCCGGATTCAAAATCCTGTAGGGTAAGTGTTGTTTTATTCTCAGATTCAAACGTTGGGACGTCCTCCATATGTAGTCGATCCCATAACTACACTTATATTTATAAATCACTGAATTAACATGCTTACGAATAGAAGAGAAAACAGGACAGGTAACAAATACTACCCGAACATTAGCCGAAAGAATAACAGCTATTAATTGAATGCGAAATTCGCCAAGGGTTCCGTGTACCCAATTTCACTTACAAGACTTCGGTTAACCCGTGGTATGGTTTTCATTCACATTCCAAAGTTGCCGCTCGCTGGAATCAACGCCGACATTACGATAACATCAGGAGTATCCTTTCTGACAAATCGACCATAGTAAGATTTGAACCCGGGCTTCATGGTTAGAATGCGAACGTTCTAACCACTCGTCAACTGGAATCTTACAAAAGTTCAATTTAATTTTCTGTCCTGGAGTAACAATGTACCTCAAAGTTTTCACGTACGATTTCACTTTCAAATCTTATATCATTTCTCTTTGCACTGTCATTGCTGAAACTCCTCTCTCACGTGCCAAACGTCATATGAATTAAGTAAGACCAATTCTAATTGATCTCCTTAGCTCAAAATTGAAATGATGATCTTGCTTCCTGTTGTGACCTCCTGATCCAGTTTTCCTCTCTAATATTTTCTCTTTTTTACAACTTTAAAACGGATCTCTTGATGGTTCTTGAATAGACTTTGAAGATGGAAGCCAAAGTATAAATGTTGTTACCATTACTAAAAGCCTGAATGATATTTTTCCTCTCAGCATTCCTCAGTTGGAAAGACAGTGTTGTTGAATTAAAACTATTTTAACCTGTTCTTATTCTAGCTGAATAACTCAAAAAGTTTTTTAATGATACTTACGACAAATGGTGTGAAGATGGCAAAACATTTTATCTGACAAGCTGAAAAAGAACTAATTTACTGATTTTAGATATTAAATATTTTGCAGGATGAATAATCATGTTGTTACACAATTTGAACAATTACACTGTTACACCGGATATATATAGATACATGCATACATATATAAATATATCCTAGCTTAGTTTGTTGAAAAACTTTAAAAATGTTAACTGCCACATATAAAAATCTCTATTTTCAAATTAACCGTAATATGCCCATGTATGTTAATTCAAACTTCATTTTTCCTTTCCTTCATCTTTTACAGTCTCTCTTTTCCACTTCTTTCTCAAACCCCACTTCTCTCTCTACTTTCTTATTCTCTCCTCACTTTTTCTCTCTTTATCTCGTTTGCTGTGAGACGACTTAATAAATAGGTCAATGTCTGATCAAGTCCCCCGCTCCCTTGCTCTTAAATTTCTTAATAAAAAACAGATTTAGAATTATTCCTATCTCTCCCTCCTCTCTCTAATTTCGACCGTATCTGTCATACTCACATTACATCAAGTTAAAGCTACCCCTCAAAAGTGTGTAAAAACTATATGCAAATTTAAAAAAAATGCTTTTGGGAGTGCGGTCTGATGAACCAGATAAAAATCGTACACCTGTGGAAATAAATTATACCCAATAGACCCTTGATTGTCTGTTTTCTATTTAAATTATATATATATATATATATATATATATATATATATATATATATATATATATATATATATATATATATATATTTGGCTGTTATACTATTTTTACAATCATTAATTTAATCTAGCTGTGTGTATTGGTGTGCAATGCACATGGGTTCGGACGAAATATCGTAAATCTGGGTTCTGAATTCAGGGCGGGTTTTGTTACATTTACATAGGCGCAAATAACCTTGAGAAAAGTATATTTCCATCTCTTTTCTCGAAGACTATTTGAATAGCAGGACAGGTTGGGGTATATAGCCATGGTTGGCAACCGGTCTGCTGTAGAACGAAACCCAGTTCGGGAAAAATCTTCTGCTTGTCAGTTATGAATCGAAAGAGGCATAATCAGTCAAGTCTCTAGAATGTATGGCGCTTAACTGACTGGCTGATTTTATGCTAAATATTCACACTTGTGTTCCCCAGTAATTTCTTCGAGCAAAGTATCCCTTGATATTTCTAAATTGGGCAAGCCTGCCTTATTGTATTTATTTTGACTCACTAACAATTGGGCTAATGATTTCCGAATGAAGTGTTTTTTTTTGTATGTGATATTTTCACCGTCTTTGGCGGTGAAGGTAGTTTGTAAACAGGGATCCAAGTTTTATAAATCATTCAGTTTCTTATTTCATAGAATAAGCAAGAAACTCTTTGATGAAATTAAAAAAAAAAAAGACTTGTTGTATATATTATGCAAATACTAAGTAAAAATAAAATTCGTTTTTCGGCGCGCAACCAGAGTTTCCGGTCTTTAATAAATCCAGTTGATCTTCGTTTCGAAAGAAAGAAGAAAATGGACAACGATTGTAATGGAAATGTCGACGACGATATTCTGAAGTTAAACTCGTAGGCTATAAAATCAACCTGATGCCTAAATACCTTCCTTACTTCTGTTATGCCAACTTAAAATAAAATATATATATATATATATATATATATATATATATATATATATATATATATATATATATATATATTTGTGTGTGTGTGTGTGTGTGTGTCTCTGTGTGTGTGTGTATGAGTATCTATGTATGTGTGTGGGTATGTCATGGAGGAAATATATAAGACAATTCAGAACGTTCTAAATTTAACCTCAGAAAATTAATGTTGCTTCACAAGAACAAATTTTATATTCTTATTATTCTATGTTCTGGGTCCCTTCAAGACGTGGGCGATCATGGCTCTTCACAAATGTCTATTCTTTGAAGAAATTAGGGTTTTTTTGTCTTTTCTCCCCTCTTCCCTCTTCTGCTATCCATTTACACACATATTACACAGCTTGGAAAATTCAGTCCTAGGTATGACGATAAATTACATCCGGCAGGAAGGCCTCTGATCAGGCGGTTTTGAGAGCGTCGAAGCACCTCTAAATTGTTGTTGTTCCCATTTCTACGCTGATTGAGGGTGGCAGCACCTGTTTGGTTTCAACATATGGACAAATAGATAACCCCGAAACTGGGGTAAAAAAACTATGAATATATAATAATAATAAATACCGCAAATATATATATATATATATATATATATATATATATATATATATATATATATTTATTAAAGACATTTTTATGTTTAACGTTCTTTTTTATAGATACAAGTATTTAAGTAAATGCTCTGTTTATAATAAACAGTATTAAATAACATTTACTGGCCTGAATGTCCGAGAAATTTTCATAGAAAATATCCGTCCTATAAGGATGCAGGTTCGAATCCTGTCAAATTTCTTTAATAAATAAATTGTCGGACTTTGTTCATTTCTTAATATATATATATATATATATATATATATAAAAAGAAAAAAAAAATTTCACCAATGGATTTTATGTAAAATAAAATTATTAATGATACCCGAGAAATAAATTTTGGGATGACATGACCCATAAGGAGTTGATATGCCGCTAAATAAACCATCCAACTTAGAACATTCTCATACTGAAAGCGAAAGAAGCAGGTGAAACAGAAAATCAACTACTTAACTGGTTTGTGTGATGGACGGAAAAGTAAAAATATACTAAGTGTCTAATGTTACCTTTATGGAGAGCTATGATACTTTGAAGTAATACGAATTATTTAATTTATTTATTTTCTCTTAATATTGAACAATGGAATCACTGGAAGAGTTTTCTCAATTATTAAGCCTTTCCTAACGGGTAGGATTCTGAATTTTCTTGTTGACAACCTGTCCTCCGAAGCCCAAGGGATAAACGTCGACGTCTCCCAAGGTTTGCTACTCGATGCAACCCTCTTTCTAGTTCACAAAAATGAACTGCCTAATAGTGTACGTACATTTGTGAATATACAACGGTATATGGGTGCAACTGCAGAAACGTAGATAAATAAAGATTGTCAGCTCTCCTGTAACAGATCAGTTTCGGAAAAACTGGCTGGTCACATCCAGTATGTCGAAAGAACTGTCACCGATCATAATATCAGACCGGCACTCTCCCCGATCGGAGGTATGACTGCCAATATAGATTAGCAAACAGATTACCACTGAGATCTTTAAAAATTCCCACATAAACTGTTTTATTTCCCATAAATCTTCAAAAGCACCATCTACCCCAGATCTCGCGCCTTCAAGATTTCAAACTAAGAGAATGCGACGAGGGAACTGCGTGTCATCGCAAAAACAGAGTTCCAGAAATGCTTCTAACAATGGAAACGTCGCTAAATTTTATGTAAAAGAAAATTACTAATGATAGCCAAGAAATAAATTTCGGCATGACATGACCCATATGGAGTTGACATGCCGCCAAATAATCCATCCAACTTAGAACATTCTCATACTGAAATATAGATACTTTAAATATATACTTGGAAGGAGAATTGTCGTCTTTTAAGCATTTCACCCCAAGCAAGGCTCGAAGCCACTAGCACGCAAGGGTTTACATAGGATTTAGAGGGAGAGCAGGTAGGTGTGATAGAGGAAAGGATGAAGACAAGGATAGTGGATAGATCAAGGCAACTGGAGATGTCTGTTGATATTACATTTGAATAGTTGGAGATTATAGCTATCAGGGAAACAGGAAAAGGGAAGAAAGTTCCACAGGTGAGCGGTGAGAGATATGAAGCTATTGGAGTAGAAGAGACTGCTACATTTAACAGTTTCAACAGCTAAAGGGTGAGAGCGATATGCCAGCCTGGTTGAACGCTTGAATTCATGAAGCCTGGGAACCAGCGAAAGCAGCTCATCGAAGCAATTACCGTGAAAGTATTTGTAAAAAAGACAGAAAGGCGACGCCACGTCTGTGAGAAGGCGACTGCAGATGAGATGCCAGATCAGGGCCAATGACATTGCATATCCATCTCTGGATCATATCAAGAACCCCGAGCCAAACAGAATGGGATCCAGACCATATATGGCAGAAATACCCCATGCAAGGGCGAATGGTTGATTTGTAGATTTTAAGGATCGATTCTGGGGAGGAAAATTTCCTGGTTCGGCACAGGGAGCCAACTTTCCTTGTTGTGGGCAAAGCAATTGACTCAATGTATTTATTCCATCTTAGGTCAGCAGACAATGTGAGACCGAGCAGGCTCAGAGAGCGTCAGACATTCTAGTGGGGTGCAGGGAAGGATCTCTGTGGTGATTATTTGAGAGCAGTTTTGTTTTTGAACGAGCCAAGTCCTGCTACAGTTCACAACCGATTGGAGGTTCATTTTAGAGGAGGATCCGAAATCAGGAATTCCACGGTGCCATTCCATATCCCAGGCTCATGTCTGTTGAAAGCATAGTCCATTATTTTCTGTCCCGGCTCGAATTAGCAGGTGGGAAAAGTTCCTTTCTATGAAACGACATGCGAAGTTGATTTGTCTTTCAAGTAACCTTCTTCGCGCCTTCACAAGGCAGCGGGTGGTTTGAGTTTTCCTTCTCCCAGATTGGTTACAAACGAAGGTTATATGGCAATGTCTCTGCTGCTATAGATGGGACGGGGATCGATTCATACCTTTCCCAAGGCCATTACCACGTAAATAAATGAATTCGAACTCGGTTCTCCAAATCCTCAAGAGTAGCCTTTATCAATTACTCGACCATGCGTCCTTCAAATAAGATTAAATCATTCAGTTATATGCTATGCACGATAAGCGCTTAGGCGATCATATATTTTTCGATACATGAATAACGAGACAGATTTTTTTCCCTGCAGTAGGTCGCCATTTCTTTCTGCGGTAGACCAGTTGCTATCCAAGGCTATAGAATCCAATCTGTCCTGCTATTTACCCATAGCTGGTGGGGAGAAGAAGAGGATTCATTCCTTTCCCAAAGCATGTAAGTGAATGTAATGGATTTGACTGGAATTCGAACTCGGGTCTCCGATTCCTCAATCCGAGCCGCTATCCATTACTCCACCGAATCCATATTGGTTGTTTTTTTTTTTCTTTTTATGGCACCAGTTCCGTCAGATATTTTTTGATCAAACCTCAAACAGGTCTATAAATGCTTTGAGGAATAATACTTCCAAGCTATCTTTCACTAGTGATGGCAGAGTTATGCCTCCAATCATTTTCCGCACAGGGCCTCAACACGGAGGCTTACATCAATTGGCTTGTGGTGGTGTTGCCACCCTGGATCAAGAGGATAACTCACGGAAGACCCTATGTCTGGCAACAAGATTCTGCACCATGCCACACAAACAGGAGAACCCAGTCATGGCTGCCTGACAATTTCT